CACTTTAAGAACCTCCTACCGTTTCTGACACTCCCACTTTAGCACGCCTTCACAACAACGCTTTGAGGGAGGGGTGTTCTGTGAGGTGGGAACTCAGCTGCAGACCAAGTTCCAGGGAGGAGCTCTGTGTAAATAGGCAGTGCTTTGTACCAGTAAGTGTTTAGGCAGCTTCACGTGGTCAAAGGATTTCTCAAACATGCATGAATGAGTCAAAGCAACACTCTGGGGGTGTTTTTGATGAAGCAATGACTTTATAACATGATATGAAGCTCAAAAAAGTTGATTTTGCATAATACCCCACTTTAAGATGCCACCAAACATAATGGAGTTCTCTTCTGGACCGCAGTAAAGATGGGATAAATGGCTCATTGAAGTGATCTGGATCTTGGGGAGTCTTTTGTTTCATAGTTCATAAGAGACGTTCGATTTTGAATGTTACATCATCACATATGAAAATACACCGTCATGTCACCGTACATGATGACGTCATCACGTTACAGTACATGGGTGGAAACATGTGTTTTGTCAAACCCCAAATCCCCCTTTCCCTGTGAGCTTCTGTACTCCACAGCTGTGCCGGTTTTTTGTGCGAAGCGGGAGCTATTTAAGGATGAAAAAAATAAAGACTATTTGAAGAATAAAATAAATGAAACTACAAATGGCTCGTTACTTCCCAGGATTTAGCTCCTATCGTTCATTTTAAAAACCTGTTCAAAAGATTCAGATCATTTGTGAACGTCACATCTCTAGACTGCAGCCAACATTAGTGTTTTTTTTATGATTTTGGGTACTCTAAGAATATAACCCTCATGGAAATCTGGGCTTCAATATTAAAACGATCTATGTACGTGACAAACATAGCCTCTGAGCCGCCATAAGCATTCTGCAGGTGTATGTTTTGCAGTGAACACAGTGTTTTCAATTAAGGTTTCAATTAATGTGTTTTCAGTCTTCAGGGGTATCTCACTTTGACTTTTTAGTATAGCAAAGAAGTTAATTTTTCACGTTTTTGATTGAATGGATTCTACTACTTCATCTTGCAGTTTGTCGGTGGTGAAACTGACGCTCCATTTCAACACATTCGAGCTTATAGCACTCAGTAAAAGGTTGGTGGCACCAAACATTCTGTCTAAGTGGCTGAGTTTCATGACAATCTGATCATGCAAACATGCTTTATAAAGACCCCAAACATGTCTAAGCTATGATAGTAGCAAAACAAAAACATTTCCTCTTTTCTCGACAAACAATAAAAAATAAAGGATGACAATGCATGCCATTTCCTTCCTACTTCTACAGAAAATTTCATTCAGTTACTGTATCTCAAGAAATAAAGAAGTTGTGGTCATTTGTTTCTGTAGCAGAATCATCTGTTTTCTGGGCTTTCAGTGTTAAACCACCAGAACCAAAACTGAGCAATTTTTCTATAGTAAAATGGTCACAACATCCTTATTCTGTCACTAATATAGACCAGTGTTTCCCAAAGTTGGGGTCGGGACCCAAAGTGGGGTCCCGAAACATCAAGGTGGGGTCCTGAAAACATTTTCTGAATTAATTACATTTTTGCCTTAGTTGTTACAAAGAAGTGAGGTTAGTATATTTAAAATGTATAAATGTAGTATAAAAATATTATTACTATGCCCC